GATTCCTCACAGTAGCAAAATGACAGTGATGAAGTAGCAACGAAAATAATGTTATGGCTGGGGGGTCACCCACCACATGAGGAACTGTCTGAAAGAGCCAGCATGAGGAAGGCGGTATAGTTCAGGGAGATGAATTGACACGGTGGCTGCAACAATGGGCTCACACACCATTGTGAGCATGGTGCCGGCTCTGGCCGGGGTTGGTTCTGTTGGAGCTGGGCTGGGTCAGAAGGGGTGGGAACAGTGGGTTGGAGTCGGGGTATAAAGGCCTATTTGGGTAGTCTCCCATTTGAGAGTCCACAGAGGGTGGAATCTCACTGAGGAGAGACTGAAATGCTCAATATGAAAATGAATGTGAAGGAACATAAAAGGTTAATGTTCATTGAGGGCCTCAACAGATTTAGACTGTTGATGCAGGTCCAGGTGTAGGGTTTCAAGTATGATGGGTTGGATCCATAGTTTCTCCCTCTCACCCTTCCTTTCCATCCTGCCAGATGATTGGTGCTAACCCTCTGCTCTGATCATTGCACTTCCCCCAGTGATGGTGCCCCAGTAGCTCCTAATTTAACACCATATATTTCCTCTGGCTTTTGAGATCAAATCTGTAGATATTAGCTTGAGCCATATGAAACTGTCATTTTAACAGGTCAAAAATTATCAACTATCATAGGATCCAACTTGGTATTTACTTCATATTTAATTTATTAAATTTCTCTATGACATTTTTCTTTTCCATATTGTAAAATTTGAGTTTCTTGGATACAGACACACACACACACACACACACACACACTCTCTCTCTCTCTCTCTCTTTGAGGACTGAGGACTATATGTGTGTGTATATGTATATATATATGTATATATAAACCTTATGTCTTAATGACAAGACAACTACAGAGACATATCATGTAAATAAAGGAGACCATTAGCCCTAGGTCATAATGGAGCCCCAGGGTTTGCTGGGGTCCAAAGCTTTAAAAAGGACAAGGGAGGTGTTATAGTTAGCAGCTCTTGAAATGTTAATGCTTAGCCTTGAAACCACCAGCTCTAACTGCTGGAGGGGAAGAAAACTCGATAAGAAGAAGAAAATGTTCCCTCTCCTCTTCCTGCTACAGAGAAGCAAACACTATCGTGTGGCCCAAAGCCAGTTATATGTCATAACATTAGACTTGGGAACATTCACTCAATAGTCCACCCCACTCTCCCGACCGGTGTGGATGCTTGAGTGAAGAGCCACGATGCTGTTGTGTTTTCAGTTCCTATAGGAGCCGGAAACACAGGGAATCCAGGACAGATGAACCCCTCAAGACCAGTGGTGAGAGTGGCGATATCAGAGGGTGGAGGGAAGGTGCGGTGGAAAGGGGGGAACCGATTATAAGGATCTATGTATAACCTCCTCCCTGGGGGACGGACAACAGAAGAGTGGGTGAAGGGAGGGAGACGGTGGACGTTGTAAGACATGACAAAATAATAATAATTTATCAATTATCAAGGGTTCATGAGGGAGGGGGGAGCGGGGAGAAAATGAGGAGCTGATACCAAGGGCTTAAGTGGCGAGCAAATGTTTTGAGAATGATGA